ATTATTATTATTATTATTATTATTATTATTATTATTATTATTATTATTATTATTATTATTATTATTATTATTATTATTATTATTATTATTATTATTATTATTATTATTATTATTATTATTATTATTATTATTATTATTATTATTATTATTATTATTATTATTATTATTATTATTATTATTATTATTATTATTATTATTATTACTATTATTATTACTATTATTACTATTATTATTATTATTATTGTTATTGTTAATATTACTGTTATTGTTATTTTTGTTGTTCAACATAGATTACTAATTGGTTTTTGGGATAATCTTCTCGGTATTTATAATATATTTTGAAGTAATGATGCTATTACTTCGTTAAAATTTCATTTTCTGATTCTCATAAGTTATTATGAATTTTCTATTGCATGTCATCTTATCAATCTGCATTCGAAATTTTAAATTTAATCCCAATTATTGCCAGATATTTTCTCAAATCTTTTAATATTAGTTTGAATACTTATAACATTATTAAATTATTAGCATTCCTTCCTTTTTTCTCTTCTTTCATAAACAGTGAATTTGTAACCTTAGACTTTGTCACGATTGACCGTCTAATCTCACTGCCTTCTTTCAGTTTCAGTTGTTATCATCCTTATCATATTTTAATCACATAACAGTCTTTTTTTAAAAAATACATTTCCATCTGTATTCATGTATAAAGTGATGCAGTTTCTTGACGAAAAATTAACGGTAGAAATAAAAAGATATATTGAACATTTAGTATATTGAACTCATGTCTTTATCATTATTCGATAATTTGAACAGATCAAGCAGAACAAAACTGCTTAATAATTCATATCGCAAACTCTTTCTCGATCACAAATTCATTTAAATCACTTTGAATTAATTTAAATTAACTTAAATCTAAATAGTAATGATAATAATGAAGTACTCAGAAAAAAAATATTTAATTCAGTGAAATTTTTCTTCTCTTTTTTAATCATTATTCGATAATTTAATCAGATCAAGCAGAATTTGAATTTGTGATCAAGAAAAAAATTCAAATTTTTTTGATTAAAATTTACGATTTTACACTTTCAGCTTTTGTTTTAATTTTATTGGCTTAGATGTTAATTTTTCAAATATTTGTTAAATATTTATAGCGATTGTTTTGATTACGTGTTTAATTTTAATTACCGTTTATGTAATTTAGTAATTAATTTTTTAGCGTTTTAAGGATAATAATGGTTTGGCAAACTTTTATTTATCCCAAAAGTACCAACTCCGATGGTAACTGGGCATCGTCATTATCGCCAGCATCACTATCACCATTGCTACCATTAACACCAATAACAATAACAACATCATCAACAACAACAACAACAGCAACAGCAACAACGACAACGGCGGCAACAACAACAACAACAACAACAACAACAATGACAACAGCAGCAACAACAACAACAACAACAACAACAACGACAACAGCAACAACAACAACAAAGGCATCTTCTACAACTAATCATACCCAACAACCATGCAACAGTAAATCATCATCCAATGAACGATCACCATCTCCTCGACCACCTCCGCGATTTCATCGACCAACACCAAGATCATCATCAGGATCATATTCTCATCATACTGATAATAACTCATCCGGTTACAGTACTTTACATAACGATTTACCGTTTTCGATGACACCAGCTGGACGATTTTTCACTCATTTCTTTGATGAAGCTATGCAATATTTTAATTACCCAATGCATGATATTGTTTGGAGTGATGAACCACCGACAGCAAATGGATATAACGGGAATTCAATCAATGAGGTATACTGTATATACTATATGCAATGAGAATTAAATGATTAAATTCAAGTTACTGCACGTTAAATTAAGCTTTCATTTACTTGTTTGTTTCATTTATACTTAATTATTTAATTACAAAGAAATATCCGAGATATAAATCAGAGTAAAGCTACTAAATTACTGGGAATTCTCGGGAATACATGGTAAGAAAGATCATTTTGTATCGAATTGTTATTAATATGTTGACCACTTATTTCCTGATGATATGCAATTTTTGTTTCCATTTCTGACTCCTCCAATAAAAGACCCTATACAATTATCCACCGTTTATTGCATATGCAAACTTTTTCACCCAATTAATTAGTTGAACTAGAACTAATTAGTTGAGCTAATGTAATTATCATATTATCCTATGAAGAATGAAAAGCAGAAAATTATTAGTAAGAATATGCAGTAAAGAATAAAAAGCAGAGATATTATTAATGAGGATGAAGAAAAAATTGATTGATTTCAGGTTTTTAATTCCTATTTTTAAAAAATTATTTATATTTTACCAGTTACTGAAATGAAAATGTTAACTTTTCTATGATGTTAAATATAAAAAGTTAATTTCAAGCAAAAAAAAGTGTAAATAAGTTAGATTAAGTTGTTTAGTGTGGGATTATTTCAATTTTCAATGGTCGATCACTTTTTAAATGAGTAAAATTTTGTAAAAAAATTTTACATATTTATTTATTTTCTTTTTCTTTTCTTTTTGCAGAAAATAATTGATAACGATGAGAAATTCAGTATCGAAATTGATCTATCAGATTTTCTTGCCGGAGAATTATTGGTAAGTTACGATGAAGATGGACGCGAGCTTTTGATCAAAGGACATCAGAAAGAACGAAATGGTCGTCTTGGCTCTGTTGAGCGTAATTTTGAACGAAAATTTGATATTCCCATTGATACTCATGATGGATCATTGGCCGCTTATTTGATGCCATCCGGTCTACTAACTATCCAGGCATTTAAAAAAGGCAACAAACAGCCTATAAGGCGAATACCAATTCAGGAAGTAGTTGATATTCCGAATTCAAGTGATAAAAGCGCAGCTGATGTTCCAGATCCAACTGATAAAAATGCTGCCAATGTTCCAACATTTAATACTTCCAAAAATACACCAAACAAAATAAAGATCAGTCCGCCAGTACCACCAAAACCAAAGAATGTTTCAAAACTAACAACTCCTACAATTGAAAAAATGTCTGAAATAACTGAGGAAATTCCAAAAATTCAAAAACTTAAAGAAAACAACGCGGAACATTTAAATTTTGATACGATACAAAAACCTACAAGAGAATCAACTGTAAAACGAGAATATTTGAATATTTTTTGCTAATTTGAAATAAATTCCTTTCGTTTATTTTCCCATTTCATTCTTACTATTGTAATACACTTAAATTTATGAATATTACATAGAATTGAATATAAAAAACTCACAAATATCACGTATATTTACGTAAAAATAATTTTTGGTCATTTTTTTATTGTAAGAACTTTGATCTTTAGACTTTTCATCAGTGGTGTAATTTGTATTAAAAAATTCAATGTCAATTTTTTTCTTTTTTTTTACCAAAATTAGCTTTATTATTTACTAATATGAATACTTTTGATATTTTTTTGTGCATATTAAATTTTTGAATAATTTTACAAATTTTATCGAATGTATGTCTTTTTTTAGTAACATTGTCGATTGGATTATCTTAAAAATCATTTATTTCCTCAACATAAGATTAATTAATTTAGATTATTTACTGTGTAAATTTTCATGCATCTATTTATTTACTTGTTTGTTTACTTATTTGTTTATTCATTTGTTTGTTTATTTATTTATCCTTCGCATAAATCATAAAGGTTTACTTTTTCATCGAATTTATAGCCTATTAGTTCTTTTTTTTTACGAACCACTTTTTTCTTTTACATTTATCGTATAACAAAGCCATAAATTTTGTTTAAATGTATTTTGGTATCTCTGTGGTATTAGTTAGTATTTTTTAGTCTCTATATTTCATTATCGATAGTTAAATGGTAATAGTTGTACCAAAATAGCTCAATTCAGTACTTTTTATAGCATCGCATTTTTAATTTTGTTTGTAAAATTTTCAATAATTCTATCCTTCATTTTATTTGTTTGTAAATTCTTGTAATCACATAAATTTATTGATAAATTAAAAATGCTTTATATTATAAAATTTTATGGTACATATTGGAGGAATACATGAATTGATTAAGCTATGATAAGAAAATAAAATAATTCCACATCTCATCGGTTACGATATTCTTTACAAAATTAAAACCTATATTTGGTAATGGTGAGAAAATGATAAAGCAGCAAAAATATAAGTGATATATGATAAGGATATGAATTTTCTTAAGTTTCAAGTAAATCGAAACGATATTAATACGAATTTGCCGGATTTCTTGGTTAGAAGCAAATTATCATATCATCAGGAATCACATCGGCAGAGAGAATGGAAATGATAAGAACCTATTCAGGTTATGCAAGAGTAAAAATAGTTGGTAAAATACATGATATAAACGACTTATCAAAGATTGATAAGAGTCGAAAAATAGTGTACCTTTGTGATTGTAGATAAGATAAGCATTATCAAACAATACAGGAAATCGATCGATTGCTAAAAAGCATAGAATCAACATTACCAGTTAGTATATGCAAAAATAATGGACTTGCATAATTGTCGTCGCAAAAATGGGCCATAGCTTAATCTTCTTGGGTAATTTTCTATGTCAAAAATCCGGTTTCATTTTTAAATTTATGGTAAAATATGATCTGGTAATGCTTATCTGAATTAATATATAATTAAGACAATATCAAATTAAACCTCTGAATATGTAAAAAAGTATTGATGAAATATAGTGGAATACGAAAAATTGAATATAAATTGTGGATAGTTTTCAGTGAAATTGCCATGCAAATAAACAATGCTTAATTCGCTGAATAAAATTGCTGGGCAAATAAGTATTATTGTAAGAAAGCAATCAGTTTATAAGATAAAATAGTAAATTATCTCATTTTTAGACAACTAATTTCTAAGCAAATACTAAATTGCATTGTAAATTAATGTTTAATTGCTTAATTACTCTTTAACTAAATTACTTCTAGTCAAGTTTTTGCTCTACAAATAAGATGTTAAACTGTATCAGCACAAGCCCGGTTAGCTCAGTCGGTAGAGCACCAGACTCTTAATCTGGCTGTCGCGGGTTCGAGCCCCGCATCGGGCTAAGCGCACCTTTTGTAAAAAATCTTTCGGGATTTCTAAGCTAATTATTTATTTACATTGCAACGAATGAATTTAGCAAGAAATAACCAATGGTTTATGTTAAGTACACCTGTAATAAATGACAGGTGACTCTCATCGTCTAAATAGACCAAATGAGGTAGAACATAGACAGCGGCAGGATTTAACGACTTTTCGACCTTTTCACCTCTCAAATTTTGTCGGAACTTTTCAACGTTTCCACTTAGTTTTTATTTTACTTTCTTTTTCATAAAGGAAGTTTCTTTTTCTATAAGTTCCCTTTCTTATAAATCTTTTTATAAGTCTTTTTTATAAGCTCCCTTTTTTTGTGTAGTTTCTTTTGAAATTGAGCTAATTAATTTCACTTGGAATCGGGCCAATTAAGAAGTAGTGTTCAAATTACTTCACATTTCATTTCTGTAGATTAGGTTTAAGATCTAGTTTCTTTCCGAAATTTGATCAGTTCTTTTTTTAAAAAAGAAAGTTAAACTTTTCATGGTTAAAAATTTTTGCAGGAAAATCCATGAAATGGACGCCGCAAAGATGGAAATATTTCACGATATCAATGAGAGAATGCAACCAAATACTTCTACAGCTACCATCGAAGCTGATGCTCAACAGGTTATTATTATTTATAGTTTTACATCCCCGAACATTCATCCAATAATTCTAAGTTTTTTGGATTTTATGATTACTATCGTAGTGCAAGATTGCTAGGTTTCGAAATTATTGTTTGGTACTGAGTTCCAGAATTACCATATTTCATCTTTATAGCTTTTATTGTTCAAACGAGATTTGAGAATTGTGAGATTCTGTGATTACGGAAGTGTATCTCAGCCACTGTAATGACATTTCGGAATGTTTTTGACTTCTTGATGAAGTAACGTTTGATATTTCAGGCTATTTAACTATGTCATTTAGCAACTGTCCATTTTTAGGATAATGTATCGATTGCAGATGTACTACGGCAAACTGCTAACGCATTTTTGCGTGATAAATATCTTCAAGGTTTTGAATTTCATGAAGATTGTCAACTATATTATAATCCGATAACAGGCTATTATTATGACCAAGTAAGAGATTATTATGACCAAGTATTCTCTCATTCACTCTTTTTTTCTCAATTTTACATTTTTTATTCAGCATTTTTTGGGCAGAAATTTAATTTCTCATGAACTATGCAAGTAGTACCATTGTCATGATAGATATCGGAGTCATGAGATTGGCTTATAAAGTTTCGGGACATGCATCAGATGACTGTCATATGGTTATAAATATCTTGACCTTATTACCTTGATCATTATATTTATCAGCAAATCTGCATCAATTCACCATTCTTACAGTTAGATTCACAGCCACAGTAGGGTGTTTATATTGCTGTTCCTTCCCCGACAACAACTATAATATTTATTATAATCACAATGATTGCGCTGTTTTCGTTATCTTGATCATGGTTATAAATTGTAACTACACGAACAGTGACTGCCTTGTTCTCATAATTATGATCATTCCCATACTACACTAACATTAACTATGATTATGATTATGATTTTTATGAATTTGAGTTTTTTACATACACGCAATTATAATTTCAGAATACTGCCTTATTCTATCATCCGTCAACGAACTGTTATTATTTTTACAACAATCAAACGGACAGTTACGTATATTACACAAGAATTCCCTGTGAACATATTTGGACAGATAAATTGGCCGAACGGAAAGCAGTGACGATGTTGGGTATGTTTCAATCAAATATTACCATAATTTCATGGTTATTAAGAAAAAAAATTTTTACCTCATGATATAACGATTTATTTTAATTTTCATGTCATTCAAGAACATTGCTTCTCATTCGTAATTTTCTCCAATTTTTCGACTTTCTCAGTATGATTTCATTTGGTTTTGGCCATAGTGATCTCCTATTACTGTTATCGAGTAATATGGATTCCGAAAGGATTCTCTTTTTATTCTGATCTCTTCTGATCCTTTCAATCACTTTTTTTCAGTCTGGGTAATTTCCAGGCGAATCATTCGCTGCAGGTATGACGCAAATTGAAGTGGACGTCTTCGAGTGTTTGAATTCGTTACTGAAGATTGTTTTAGAAATGGATGATAGCGACAATTGTGATGAGCTGGATGATGAAATAAGTACACATATCCAAGGTGCATTTTTCTCATGTCTTTGTATGAAACATGCTTAAATCAATGAATTAATGTTTGCCTAATTTCCTTTTCGATCCCTTCTTCTTAAACTATGTTCACTTTCTGTATTAAAAACGTTTTTCTTTTTATAATAATCATTTGTTAAGTTTATCAAGCTAATAATATGTTATCCAGAAGATATATCATCAATATGCACTGCTACATTGATGATTTATCATTCCATTCCGATATTTAAATTTATGAAGTATAACGTACTGCTCGATTTTAAACTGACACATTATTTCAGATGCTCGAAGTGATCGATTACAGAAATTTTCTTCCAGTTTTCTAATTTTTCCCCTTTTACTTATTGATTTCCTTTGCTGATTTACTTTTATTTTTTGTAGAAGAAAGAATGGATTATGCACCATGTGTTCGTATCATTGAAAAAACGAGTGGAGCATTGCATGTAGTTACAATTACTGGTGCAAGAATTGGGACTGCTCCCGATTGTGAAATCCAGTTATTTTCGGGGCAATTTTCAAACAATAAAGTGATTTTTTAGTCAGTTTAATTTTTGTTGATTTTGCGACCATTTTCTATGAATTCGTTAACGACAACTATTAACAAAATTTCACTTAAAATTACATAATATCACCAACCAGATGGATTAGTTGCTTTCTTGGGAAGTGGTGAATTTTTTCATTATGGATTACAATCTTTTTTTACCAATAATGACTGTATCAAATGAATTGAAACAATGAACTGAATTGTGGGGTATAAATAAATTGAATTTAAATAAGAGCTAAACTGATTTGTGGAGTTAATGCAGCCTCATGTAATTGTTTTGGTCTCCACAATATTTTTGCTTGTTTGGTTGCATTATATTGGAGGATATATCTTCAGAAATATAGATATTATTTTTGTTTTAAGAAATATCATCTTATATTTCTTTTTTATGGAATAACCTAGAACTATTCTTGCAGTGTAGTGCTGTTATCAATTACAACGAGACGGAGCAGAAATATTTTGTGACAGTCAACGAAAAGGAACCGGAGGTTTTCCGTAACAAACTAAAGATTGATGTGAATGAAGTAGCAATTGTAGATCATGGCGATGAATGGCAATTTGGGGAACAAGAATTTTTGGCTCACATTCATTACGGTATGAAAATTTGACCTTTTTTGTTTGGTATTTTTGCATGGAAAAATGCATATATGCATATCTTAAGCTGTTAGTGAACTTGTTGAGTTAGTTTGTTTTATAGAATTGACCTTCAGTTAGTTGCGTGATAAGTTCATGATATATGTAATAATATAACATCAACAATTCTCAACTTTCGTAGAAAATTCATTATTATTTTATAATTTAAGCTGCACAAAACGGATACATTTATCGTGAGATCCGGAAATTAAGAGGTAGATAATGTGGTTATCCGGGTTCACACTGCTGAGTGTTGTAATGCAAAAAAGTAATGGATTCTAATATTTGGCTAGACGACTGACATCATGAACTTGAGACTTATCTGGCATGCTAAGATTTATCTGATATGGAATTATGCATCTCTTTGTGAAACTTTATAGTAATAGTAGGAGAAAACTTGTAAGCTGCCATTTAAATGCAAAATTCCTTAATTCTATTATAATCTCATCAACGTTAAGTATGGTAAATCTTATGTTCTATTATTAAGGAAATGAAAATTATAGCGATTAACAGAAAGGAATTTATGAAACGTCGCCTAAATTCTTCGGAAGTGAAACGGCTTACATTTGTATTTTTTCAAAGTTTCCAATCGTTGTAGGGACGAATACGTGTGGTGCATGCGAACCTGGTTTACTAAAAAGCGATCAAGTCACAATTCAGGAGCCTAATGATTATCCCCCGGCTGGGAAGGTATCAAAGGAGACACTAAGACGGCGAAATTTGCGGAATATGAAGAAACAGTATGGTATATTTGATGTAAGTTCTCTTTTGATCGATTCAGTTTTCTTTCATTTATAGTTTTCTTATGGTCTTTTCTAATTCCTTTTATTTTTTTCTATTCTAATTTTTTAGATTTCCACGTCTTTTTCTGAATTTTCCAGTTATGCTTCATTTATGGCTTAATATCGGGGAAGGCTTCTCACAGATTGGAAAAAAATGGACATCTACAACCGTGGGGTTTTGTTGCTTTATATTTTATAAATGTTTTCAGCTGTTTGCGTTTTATTCCACATTTTTAAAAATCTGTGACTCAAATTCGGCATTTCTTTGTCAGGATGAAGAACATTACCGATGTAAATATCAAAAGAAGGAGCGAAATTTGTTAGTTAACGATGCTGAAAACAAGGATCAATCAATTTACGCAAATTGTTTGGCAAAACCTTTGCCAGGTGGGCCTCATTTGATAGACGGAGACTTTAGTAAAATTATTTCCCAATCTTAAGACTTATTTCAACCTCATAACATTCACTGTCACAAATACTTCCATGGAAATTCTAGAAATGATTGTTGCTTCGACAGATATAACTCCATCATCAGCAAAAATGTTAAACGAAAGTAATCGAGGATTTGGTATGCTTCAACGAATGGGTTGGAAGCAAGGTACCGGTTTGGGACGAAGAGAAGATGGGATTACAGAACCGGTGAACTATCTTTTTCTGTTTTTCTTGACAAATTTAAAGCGTTTGGTTTTCACTGAACTTTTAAGTTCATGAAGAATTTGTTTTTATGGTTTCATCCAAGGTTCATATTAGCCGTATTTCCGATTTATGAAATGTGAATTGTAGATCACATTATTATTTCTCTTTCCAGGTGATTGGTGAAGTCCGTCCTAACCGTGCTGGACTTGGGCTTAAAAATGAAGTTAAATTTGAAATGTCAAGGAAGCAGGATAAAAAACAATATTTGCTGAGAATTACAAGGCAACGTTTCCAAAAAGCTGAAATTTTTACTATAGATGACGACGATAATGATACAACATGAAGCGTATTCTGATTAGATTGGTTATTTATGTATACTTTGATTTTAAATAATTTGTGAATTTGTATTTTATTTGAATGCTCGTTTTGATGCCTTTTGATGATAGCGATACATTTGTTCATGTGTTAATTGATCTTTGACACATTTTTGATTCTTTAGTCTAGTGAAGCAAATAGTTGCTGCCTCAAATTTGCATGAAGAAAATTCAAATAATTTCTTGATATGTTGCTAGTTTCGTTTAATTTACATCAATGATGTCACATGTATTTTATTTTTAAAATTTCTATTAATTTGTCTTTTATACGATCACTATGATACCGACGTACGTTTCAGAATGAGTAATTGTCGTCTTCGCAACGGTATAATCCTTAAAATCTGCTTTTTTTCACATATTTGTTTTTTCTTCAATTTTTTATATTCCAAACATGCCTCTTGGACTTTATCTGATTACTAGCTACTGTTGGGTTATATCGACGCGGGTTAGGGATATATGTAAAAGAAGAATATAGTAATTGTTTGCGGATCGAAATTTAGAAGTTGGACTTAGTCTTCGGGCGTATCCGGGCATTTAAAATTATTGAAAGCAATCTGATCGAAATAGTCATTGGAAATATGGTAAGTTTTTCCATTTCGACAGTGACCCATTTTTCCTTTTATTTCTTCGTCATAAAACTTGCTTCAACACTTAGTTATTAAGCACTATTCAACCTGTGTGTCGGATAGTGATGTGAGTGTGGTAGTGAAAAGTAAGGTATTTTCACGTAACTATTTAATTGAGCAATGATAGGCTTTTAAAACTTAATCATTCATTTAAGGAACCATTAAGACATCAACCGCGAATAGTGATTATTTCCAGTTAAATTCAAAGAATCCTCAAATTACTTTTTAGATTTAAAAATTACAATGAGTTGTAATACATTCAATGACATCATTTATTGTCACATGACTTCTCATGAAATTTAATACTTTAAACTAATAAATTGTTGGAATTCCTCCTTTTTTTCGGTTTCAAATCATAGCAAAATCGGGGTTTATAAAATTTGAAAATTCCGAACAACTTACCTTATTTGTTATATAATATTATTCACATAAATGTAATCATAAATTTACTCTTTTGTAAGCCTGTTTGTTGTCGATAAAATGTGTTTTGATAACGCAAGATATACGTTTGCTTTATTGTTTAAATTAGATCATATTTATGAAATTTTTTGTTACACCGAATGCGCATATATAATTATTTCACCCTGTAATGCATCGACTTTAAATGGTGCTTTTGGATCGATGCAATCAGTTGTCACCTGAAATCGTCGATTTTATGATTAATTGTGCGGGATAATACAGTAAACCTATTTATTGTTAAATGTAGTAAAATGATTTATAAAACTTTCTTAAGTTATTGAAAGTCTCGAGCTTTTTTGGAAACTTTTACATTTGTTGACAAATCATTTGAAATTTTGACACTTCTAAAACTCGTTTAAAAAAGAAAGCAAAATTTAAAAATTTGAAGCAAAATATTCAAAAATTGACAGTTTTGTGCCGTATTTTTTTTTTCCTTTGAGAGGACTTCAAAGAAACGAAAAACCCTATTGTTACTGGATAAATAAACATTATTGAAAAAGAAAAAAGAATTTATTAAAATATATAGACGAAAAATAAAATGATAATCAAATGAATATTTATTTACACTGTAATTAATGAAAAAAAGGAAGGAGCAGATAATTAATATATACAATAACCTCAGCATATTGTACAATAACAATATCTTCTCTTACAGTACCAGATAATTTTTGTACTACAATAGGATATGAACATTGTGGTTCGATGAAACCATAGATAGGCTTAAAACGATATTCATCATTATTGGTACATTTAATTTTAAATGCTAAACGTGCTATACTTGTATTAATAAGTTTATGTATACAAGTACCACCAGATGCACGAATTTGTACCGCACGTGGTTGAACTGTTAACATTTTTCAATTAATTAATTTTTTCCAATATTTTCTCCTTCTTTTCTTTCGCTTTATTTTCTTTTTTTTGCATAATTTTATTATTAACAAAGAGAAATTTGGAAGTTTGCTTTGAAATTTTGCATAAAAATGCATTATAGAATTTTAAAATGATTCTACTATCTCATAAGTTATGTTTAATTGTTTATTTTTCTATTATTTATTTACAATATAGTCTTATCATGTTATCCTATCTTATTATAATAATCATATCTTATAATTTTATCTTATTATAATAACCTTATCATATCAATTATATTCTTATTCTATCATCGTACTGTAATAGCTAGAGTACGATAAGATAGTACGATAATTTATTCTTGATAAGTCTTTTCTGAACAACATGAGAGGGAGTTTTGAAAGCGCTATTGCTATAAAGCTAATAAAAATTAAATGTCAAAGAAAAGTAGCTTCAATCAAGTTTTAAAATGAAACATTTGAAGTCTCCTTAGCATGTCTCATTTTTTGTGCTAATTACTGGAGATAAATCAATTTTGGAATCGGATCGATGAAAATCATATTTTATAAAAATATTTCATAACCAGAATTCTCCCACGGTTATTATACCGTTATCTTACGATGAGTTGACTGTAATAATCTGTTCCGTACCTAATTTTCATTTAAAAATCCAACATCTAAAATGCACACATATTTTATTAACAATTCTTAAGTAATTATGCTAAATACCTTTTGATTTCCAAGATTTTCAATTTCTAAAAAAAAAAAGTGGAATTTCAAAGGAGATTTTGTCTAAACTTTCCGTCTATTTGTTTAAATCCCCTTCACTATGCCAAACATACTGATTCATCAGTTACTAATGATCATGGTATTTCAGGTAACCTTGGGTAAATACGTTGCATCATTTAAAAATCTTCAGCATAATGTACTGCATTTTTTCAAAAAAAGAGAAGTTGAAATTTTCCAAAATTTGATAATTTCACATGCAATCACGTCATATACTTGAAGAGATAATTGTTGGGATACTGTACACTGAGCACCTGTTTATCATCTCAACTGCAGTTATTGAATTGCAAGACCAATTTTATTCGTTTCTCTATTTACTTTTCTGTTTATTTTTATTGCGAACTTTTCAACGGCCTTCTTTACTTTCAGTGCAATTATATTTTTCCAATCTCGGTCATATTATAATTTCAACCTTCCAAAGATGAACTATGCCTTTTCAAATACTTTAACGATTTTGGTTATCCTCCTGAAACGAAGTTGCACGTACCTTATCTCATTTTCTATCTTCTCCGGTATGAGGGAGATAAAAAGAGTAAGGAAAGTTCAAAACTTTGTAAAATTTTCTTGGAATTAATTTAAACTTCTTATTTCCTAAAAAATGAGGTCTATTCATTACCAAATTTTGTAAGCAGATAACAAAATACTTATTGTAGATTAATTTGATTTAAGTTACGTTCCCCGGAACTATTGTCAAAAATTACATTTCAAAGTAAAGGAGATAATATAGCTTTGTAGCTCTTCGTAGGTCTTTGGATTACGAATTCGTTAAAAATTAAATTTAAAAGCTCTAATTTCGAAAATGATAGACATAAATAATTGTTTTTAATATTATTAACTTTAAATTTGCCGTGATGACACCAAATCAGGAGATCAAAAGATAAGGATTGACAAGTTGATATCGTTAGTTTTTTCCGGAAAAACCGGTTTGCAAAGCTGTATCCATAGATGATAAGCTCATTCAATGCAGCATTATTCAAAGAAATGCAGAAAAAAAATCCCTTTGAAAAGTGGTCAAGTTGGCAGATGATGAAGAGAGTACCATATCCAATAAAGAGAATGAAAGAAGGAAAAAGAAAAAGAAAGTGAAAGGGAAAAATCGAAATAGTAAAGCAATGAAAAAAAGAAAAAAAGAAATATTCAGTAGAGCAATTACCATCCATTCGATCCACTAAAATTATAGCAATGATCGAATTGCAAAGAATAAACAATGAAATAAAAAAAGAGTAATACAGAAAAGAAGTAAAATTGGCAAAAAGCACAATAAATTTTTCAGGAAGTAGTCATACCAAAAATATACCATAAGGGACAATCCAACTTTCTTTTGTACGAAAAATGTAACACTCTGAGACGGTGTTGAAGCATCTGAAAAATGAAGGCAAGCTTTACGTCAATAATCGTAAATGTGTCACTCTATGCTATGAAGCATAGAAGCGATCGCAACGGCTGCTTATTTGTAATCTGAAATTACGACACAGCATTTGTTTACTGAAAAGAAATCGTCAAAAAACGAATGACGCAAATGGAAGAATGATGGAAAAGAAAGAATAGAAGATCGGCCAGAACAGTCAACTGGTGACATCAATCGAAAAAGTGGAGGAGTCGACAGAAGGACTGATGTTAACAGTTGAGAAGGACTAATACGACAGAGTAATTTAAAAGTCGACCAACAAATTGCTTGACGATAGCGATAAAACCGAATGAAAGGTTGGTCGGGAAAAAAAAGATCAACATCAACTCAAGGAATCGATACAGGATCGAACAGAGGAAAAAATGAGAAAAAAAAAGATGGTGGAACGACTAGAAAAATCGACCGAAGTAATCGGATGAATAATCAAAAATAAAAACCAAAGAGAAGATGAACCGGGAAGAAAAATGAACTGAATGATGAAATAAATGATCGGCAGAAGGAATCAACAGGAAAAGTTGCAACCGGTTAGAAGATGAACATTGATAAGTAGAACGACCACACGAATCAATATGGGAAGGATCAACTTATTGATAAGAAGAACTAACCGAGATATGTTTGTAGGAAAGTATATGGGAGAACGGAAAGAAGTATTTAATATTAAATGGATGAACAAACCACACGAATAACCAGCAAGAAGGATTAACCGGAATAAAGTAACCGGAAGACTGGAGACCGGAATGTCCCGCATCTGTAATACATTTCCCTACAGATGAATCACTGTACCTTGTTGTTCTCATCATATACTGGTAACTAATAAATGACATGAATGGATGGAAAAATTTCTCCTCTCCCCCCTCCCCCTTACCCCTTAAATTGAGCAAATCGCTGAGATGCAAAATTTCATTGTGTCTCTTTGATTTGCTACCCACTCGCACGTGATGAAATGATCGATTTTCGTGTCGAATTCACCCACATTGGAAGGCCTTTTATTTTAAACATAACTTCTGCGTGTTTTGCGCAGTTTACGGCAAGTGATCCGAGCAAATGGTTACAAGCGCCATTCAGAAGCATAGATAAACGAACAAGTGGTATCCAAGCAGCCGGATTTCCCGCGGGCCACAATCCTGATTTAATGATGCCATTATGGGATTTAACCCGTTAAAAGTTCTCCCTTTCCGTGGGTACGCTTGTGGAAATGATAGATGTTTCATTGCGTTTCGTAGATAAACTATGCTAAATGCTACCGGTTATCAGGTCAGGGAAGGTGTGGCTTGACACATGAACGAATGGCGTCATATGTGGGAAATCCGGACGGATACCACAAAGGTAATCATTTCTCATTATTATAGATTTGATGCTATTAATTATAGAATGCATTTGAATATAAAGATATTTTTTACTTGAATGTTTCTTACGTAAACATCGGTATGAAAATCAATTTGATTACAATTTTAGCGTTGTATTGTGCTTGTAAGTAAGCTTGTATAATTTGACTATAACTATGTATTTGTAATGCGATATTCGAATAGGATTGTGAGATTACTTGAAGTAGATGTTTTTTTTTCGATGTTGATATAAATACTTGTGACATTACCGTGCGAAAATATTTGTAACTTAACAGTATGAAAACAACCCTAATGTTAACATAAGTAGGCCCTGTTACTGTTTTGGAAATTTCTTTCTGACTATTATATTGCCTCAAAATTATTATTTTTCTTTTCTCTGAATCTTTATAAGCGAAAAATAAGAGTTTATATTTACTATACAAAATAGATAGTAAATGAAAAGGAAAATACTACGTAAAGTTGATTTGCGTAATTGCAGATTATGTAAGTGCGATGAAATATAACTTGTTTACAGATATTCGGTGAATAATGAGTGATGATGGTAGCAGAATGAGCTCGAAGTTTGAAAAAGAAACTGAAGATTTGGAAGTGGCATTGATGACGGATTCAAATTCGGATGAGAAGAAGTCTGACTTTTATGGAACATTTTGGTTGGACAAAACTATACAACTGCTTTTGAAGCTCAATAACTGACGTAGTATTGGCTTTGATCGGTAACATGATGATAAGTGTCGGTTGATTTGAATGCATAATGAATTGGACAGGAAGAAGTGACTTTTATAGGTTAATATGGGTGCAGAGTAAAATGAAAAGTAAGCATGAAAGTATGAGATGATTGATTGGTAAAATGCTATGATCGATTCTAAAATTTCTATGTTGGAATGTTCAAGTGGCGATTGCCAAAATTCCTTACAGTTTCAGCTGGCGTCATAGTCATAGCGTCATAGTCGCGTCATAGTCATAGGCGTCATAGCTGGCGTCATCCACCATAGTGCGTTACTTGTTGATCTTCAAAGAGCTTTATAACATCTTCAATTTAATTAGATTAAATGTTCAATTTATAGATGTGTGTATGGTGGATTTACTAATGAAGCTTATGAGGAGTTGGTGCGATATCATCGTAGCAAAGAAATTCCTAAACGGCTTCAAGGGCATCTGAAACATCGTATTGATTGTTTCAAAAGGAAAGCTAAAAGATTTCAACTGATTGAGGGAACTGATCAGCTGATTTACATTGGTAAACAGATATCCACATTTTGATATTCAATTCATTTACTGTTCAGCAAGTTATTTTTTAAAAGAGGAAAAAGCCATTCTGGAATTTTTTTTTGGTATGAGAAAGGTTTATTACTGATTTTCCCTGCTTCGGAGCCTGAGAGATTTCATCTGTTCTCTCCCATAGGAACTTTTTTTTCACATCACATTCTCTCTCTAATTACGATTGAATTGGGAGACTCCGAGTAATCAATTTTGCTTTAATATTAGAGTGGATTTAACTCCTTCAAGTTTTTAAAGCTGAAATTGAAAAACCTTCACTTATGCATGTAATTTTTGGTGTAGATTATCGACTCACCTTCTCCAATTCTTAACAGATAGCTATGAAAGAAATTAGGGTAGGCGTAATAGGATAATTCGTCTTTTAAATCCGTTTTATTCTGAATTTAGGATTCAAACCAGACCACTCAACGGTGGGTCAGTTTGTTGTGAAGAAAAATGAAGTTGAAAAAATCCTCACTCAGGCATGTGATTTTGTTTTATTATGGATTATTGAGTAGTCTTTCTCGCTATGTTAGGAGGAATGGTTATAAAATGCTAAATGAAATTTAAATTTAGCTGGTAGCAAAAAAATATATATACATATATACATGGAAGAGGAAAAATGAATCTCGGTTTGGGGGAATCTTCCTAAAACATAATTTCGGAATAAATGTTGATCGACATTCCTTTCCATTTTAGGCTCATTTGGAATCAAATCACGGTGGCCTGAATGCTACACGTAAAATGGTTTCAACAAAATTTTACTGGAATTCGATTACAAGCGATGTTGAGCAATTTATCAAACAGTGTCCACGTTGTCGTATTACACGTATGCGATACGTTGCATCCAATAATGTTCCTTGGCGTAAGGGTGGACGATATGGGGATATTTACACAGTATGTCGTGACTTTGATTAAACACTTATAACTTCACACTTTTTAACTTGATATCACTTGTCGAACGCCCATTGGTGAAGCAGTTGCTAAACATCACCCACAAGAGAAACTTTTTGTCAAGGAAGGATTTTTATATTATGTATATACCAGTGTTGAACACTGTATTTTTATGAGGTTATGGATAGGATATATAATTTTCCACAAAATGTCACCCGATATTGATATGGTAATTAATTAATCCTAGTTTCGAAGTTCTCTTATTTACACGAATTTCCAGGGTAACTGGGATGGAAGCGAAGATGATTATGCACTTTCTGGTAAGAGCCATTTCTCTCCATGCGTTTTTTATTTGTAATAAAGAAAAAATTAATTGAAAATTTCTGCTTACAATTGTAATCTCGAATTGTGGATTTTATTTGACTTGCGGTTCTGTGAGATTTTTCTATTTCCAATTAAAACCTGTGGTTTTTCATTTGTAAGAATAAAAGTTATTCAAAAATTTTTTAGATCGTTCCTGCAATCGAACCTGGAAATTTGCTCGAAGTCTGAATGGTGGCGAATATACCACATACGCACCGGACAACGAAATCAGTGTACTTCCTCAGCCCTGGAAGGTTAATTTCGTATTTGCAATTCCAGCCTTTCAATTTGTGCATGAATTCATAGATGCGAAAAACTGATATATGAATAAAATTCGAAGATCAGTTTTTGCTTGATGTTTTTGTTTAGAGTGTGAAATTTTATCAGGTACTCTATGAAAAAGGTTACAGCATGATAGACCTACAAATGACGTTTTGATTACCGATGAAATGACAAATGAAGATATCGATATCGAAAATGATACGGATGAACTGGGTAAAAAAGATCCTCAGATTATCTGCGATTAATGATTTAAAACTTATCGGATTTATCTTGATCGATTAACTGGTCAAGCAGTAGAATGTAACGCATTGATATGAGAATCATTGTTATTGAAATCGAGGAATTATTTTCTCATTAATAGTTCACTGATCTAATTGCTTTGATGTAAAGCAGAACATACGTACTGTACTTCTTAGTCTCTCTAAGTCGCATACACATGAAATTTGTTTATATTAAGAACGCGAAAGTAAGTGATTGTTGGATATTTTTCAAGTTATTTCAGGTAATACTGAAGGAAAGATAGATACACAGATGTTACTACCTCAGTATTTCCGTGTCAGGCCTGCCCACCCAACTTTTAATAGATCTCATCTTGCAGAGTGGATGGAAAGGGAACATGTAAGTTCGTTTTACGGGTAGTGGCTAATTTATTATGAGTTTATCAGTTTCCTGATTGTTGTATATTATTTCCCTGTCTCTAGAATCCAGGCATTTCATCCGGGATTCTTTGCATATTTAATCCTCTGCAGATCCGTCTTTCGAGTACTGTGTGAAGTGAGGGAACATATTATAATGTCAGAATGCAAATTACATAAGCTATGATAATTGATACTTTGATGGCCATATCAGAATTTCGCTCTGTGATCAAAAAAAACATACGTAGCTTCAATTCTTTAATTTTCATCTTAATTTATATACTTTGCCTTTAGTTTTTTTGAGCTTTTTGAAATCTCTTCTAATTTCATAACATTTCCTTCTTTCAGCGATTACTTTCTTGCACCAATATTTTTGTTCTTTCCTTTATAAGTTTCCGCTCGTAAATGAATTTCAAAAGAAGAAGTCTTACTGATTGTAATAATATTTTAGGTATTAGATTATGACGAGTCTTACGGTAACCCAGAGGAAGCATATTATGAAGACGATTTCATTGTTGGTGAAAGTATGGCAAACAATGCACCACCAACAACTGGTGAAGAAAGATTGGTTTCAGAAGATAGCTTGGATGGGGGCATTGACAGGTAACATATGTTTGACTTTGGTCACTTCTAGTAGAATGGCTTTTGTTTGCATCCTGTAGTAGTTGTTTAAATGAAGGGCTCAAAAACCTTATCGGGGTTTTACCGTCTCTAATGCGAATAAAGCCTTTTCAAGATAGATATGTGGACTTTTTTACTATATACTTCACTATATACAAGGAGGGAATTTGATATGTGGACTTCAGGGGTATTAGCAGATGTCGTAAGTTATCATTTCTAAATAACATCAACTTCTATGCATTTTTTTTAATTTTTGTTTGGCCAGTTGTTTCTTTTGCGGTAATAGGATGGGTCAGATGATGAACTTGCAGACTTTAATTGCATGGGGTCTTCAAGTACACGAAACGAGTATATGCATCGTGTGCTTGATTATATAAATGTTAGAGGATTCTCCCAAGCATACGCATAATAGCATTTGTTTGTGCATTTCAGTCATTTCTTTTTTTCTTCCGAAGCAATGGTTAATTGATTACGTTTTTGATGACGAAATTTATTTAGAATGTTCGTGTCATGATGTTAATCTAAATTAAAACTGAATCCTTTCTCTTTTTTGAGGCCAAGTCCTACGAAAACTACGGTATACAAAGAAAAATTGGTCGAAAGCGCCCCAGTCAAACGACGGTACGTCGAAGACGATCGCGAGTGTATCATTGAAACAGATAGAAAATATTTTATGGTTGAAGCAGAGCAACTTTTGCAGCTTTTCAAGAGGTCTATTTATTCTTCCAGATCTCATAAATCATTTAGAAATGTGCCATATTTGATTCTTTTCCTTTTGTATATTTTTACTTTCTTTGCTCTGTTTATAATTTTTGGAAAATGTTGATTGCAGATGCTCAGGATGTGGTGAAAAGTTGAAGCAAGTAACATTATATGCTGATTCACCGATGCCAACTGTTGCTTATCAGTGTAGTAAATGTGAGCAAACCGTATGGTTTGGACAGAAAATGGATTAGCTTGAATATGGAGACTCTCGAAATCTGATTTCAATGTGTTTTACTTGCTTAAAATAATTGAAATGGTAAAGAAAATAGGAAAAGGGAAATTTAAAATGCAAAAGTTAACGGAACAAATGAACTATACAATAATGGGTAGTGTGCAACTGAAAATTTCAGTAGTTTTTCTTTAAGGGAGTCAAAAAAAATCTAATTTTGGAAATTTGCGTGCTCTTATGTATCCTCAGCACTTCTTTCTTGCTTTGACAGAGCGTAAATGGGAGGGGGTTTTTTGAGTAGTATTATTATTTGTTTTGTGCGGAATCCGTGTTCGTATTGCTTGTGATCCTAAAATTTTAATTATTGCCGTTATTTGTATACACACACACACACACACATACCGTAAATAAAGTTATTTGATTGTCTATTGAAACGCTTCTTAAATTTGGGTTCAAATTAAACCTAAACTCAAACAAATTTTTGAATGGAAACTCGTGAAATGTAACTTAGAAGCGGGAAGGAAAGGGGAAATAAACCTTCCTTTAACAAAGAAAAATGAAAAGCATTATTAAATATAGCGAAGGAGCAAACGTTTGAAGGAAATATTGGAGTAAATGATTCCTGGGGTGGCGTTATCTGTATCACAGTTGTTTTTCGAAGGCTTTCTTGCAACCCTTAAAATTGTCTTTTTGGTGTCTTCTGGGTTTTGTTGACCATTATGCATTTCCGCAATAAGTTCAAGTGGATAAATTCATTTAGAATTTAGAGTTGAACTTCTGTGACTTGCTTAAATGTCTTAAGCAGTCAGAACCTACAATTCCCATAGGTACCTGTTACTTTGTTCAAAAGTCGTAAACATTGTTGTCATTTTGTATCCTGTCACATCAAAATTATTATTAATTTTCACGTCTTACAGAAATGGAGATGAAAACTACCCATCCAGTGCAAGGAGTAAATGTAGATAACGTGCAACATGCAGTTCCGCAAACAGTGCAACGAATGGTGACAGATAGCATCCAGCAGGAGAATACAGACAGTACGCAGCAGCGAATAACGGCATGCCTAACAACGAATAATGCAAGACAAGTGTTTGGCACAAAAACTACTACTACTGCTACTGTTCCTGAGGGTCAAGCGATCTGTTCAAAATCCACCGAAGCTAGTATATCAAATCGAACAAATGGACAAGTTTTAAACTTTCAGGATTTCCAGGAACCTGCGATTACATGGCAAGATGATGAGCATGAGTATGAAACGCAAATGAATTTACTAAAGTGGGATGTTTTTTCTAAAAAAAACCGGAAATTTTTTTTCGAAATCAAAAAATAAATTTCAAAATTGTAAAATGTTAATTTCAAAATTGTGACATCTTCGATCACTATCAGGAACTTAATCAGTGTAGACAATTGAAATTATCAATTTTTCTTTTTTGCTTTTCCTACCGTAAAATTGACATACATGATTTACTGTAAGAATAAACTGTAAGGCAGACTTCGCCGAATTATCAAGTGATATTACGATAATTTTGCCATTTTTTTTTTTTTTTGTTTCTCAAGCTTTTTTCTCAAATGTTTTAGATTAGGATGTCATAGTGAATATTTTAGTGAGGAATGGAAAAGGCCCGAAGTGAACGAAGTCATGAGAAAGCTACTCAAAAATGAATTGTCATTTGCGGAAGCAGCCGATCGGATATCGATTATTCTCCGACGTGAGGTAACGGTAGCGTCGGTACAAAATCGTGCTTTGCATTGCTCCGAATTTTCACAATTGAGACAGGCAAATAATCAGAAAGAGCATGAAGGTGAGAGAGAAAATGGAGAAAATACCGCGGGAAAACATCCGGTTGTTGCAAAGGAGTAGGTTTTTATTTTTCCTTATCAATTTTTGAGGAAAAATACAGGGGGAAAAGAATTTGACAAATTGCTTTTTGCAATTTTTATGTATTTTGTCTGCTTATATTTCGGCAAAAATTTACATGGAGTATCTGGTGAGAAAAAATGGCAATATTATGATCGTGATCTGATGTACATGATGTATTCTTGAGATTTGAGATGATATTGTTTCATGTCAACAGATTAACTAATGGTAGTAAGACTTGACAGTGTGTTCCTATGTTGAAGTTGCTGGAGTGAAACTACTTGATTTTCAGATTGTTTTCTTTTGCTGTTATTGAGCTTATAAGCGTTTTGCTGACTGTGTCATTTCCATGTGTTGTTTTAAAACGTAGTTGATAATTATGGACAGATATGCTGTTCAAGATTTAATCTTTTAAGTTTTTGTCATTTTCACATGATAAACTGAGCGAAATCAATTATATAATGCAGGTTTGGACCCGGACTTTACGAAGTGATACGAAATCTACGTGGAAATTTGAACAGCATAGCGATCAAGGAACGACAAAGTAATTGTGTACGAATTTACCGTCGATCAACGACACGTCATTACTACAGTTATTATCGTTGCTCAACTTGTGACTACCTATCACGGCGTGAGGTCCAAGATGGTCATCCATCACCGATCATTAAAATGGTCCATGACAATATTGTTGGCGAACCATTTCCATCACATCATCCCGATTGCAAACCGATACCTCTTTCACAGTTGCGAGCTATGCAGATAGATCGGGAAAATCGTCAAGAAGTGATAGACGAAATGCTAACTCCTTTTGAAGCTTGGTCAAGGGTAAAATGTGTTTGTCTTTTAAGATGAATTGCTAAGTTTCGATTAAAGTCTGCTAGATTTTCGAAAATCTAATTAATATTACTGATTGCATTACTCCGATTGATGTACCCAGCTTCATACGGAAAAGTTTTAATATATTTTACACTGAAGTTCTTTTTTTTTTGAGGGTCATTTAAGAGCTCTACTGGAGGAGGCAAGGAAGGCTTCGCAACTTGCTAGACAGCGTCCACACTGGAAAAAAGTCAAGTGTACGTCACGAAATGAAAATGTAAGTTCCATTTTTTTTTGAATTTCATTTTCCTTTTTTTTCACTTCTGGTGCTTGGACCGATTAATTTCGCATATAAAATGCAGATTTTAATGCTATTTCAGGAGAGCCATCCATATGCAAGGCCATGTGGCGAAACATTAGTAAGTTACGAAGGTTAGTAAGAATTTGCATTGCTTTATTTCTTTTGAAAGAAATCCCCACTTATTTTTTCCTCAGTTACAAAAATTACCTTTAACATGAATTATATCATCACTTAATTTCAGAAAAAATACGAAAAAGATTGAATGAGCAGCTAAAACGCCCAGATTCTCGTGCTAGTTCAGTTGCTTCTGAACGATTTAATGCTCAAGTGTGTTATTTTCATTTTTGTCCATTTTATTCATCTTAAGTACTGCAGAAATTTTCTGTTAGAAATCATATAGGAAAAGGTGATATTTAAATATAATGGTTATATGTGACATGTTGATAGGATGAGTTCGCTTCTGTTTTTCCTTTATTGTTTCTGATTGTCAAAACTCGCCTTCATTCTTCTTTTTTAGCTCTTCTTTTTTAGCTCCTTTGAAAATTGGACAAATCCTAGCAGTGTTAATTGAGCAGAAAATTCCGAGCATTCTCCTAGCCGAAAGACCAATAAGGTTGTTTCAGGCGTCATAAAGGAAGCATATTTTGAAAATATTCAAGAGAGTATACTGATAGTGTTGTATTAGATATGTCTTATGAAATGCTTTTTTTTTTATTATATATGTCTTATGAAATGCTTTCCATTTTTCCTGATAGCAGAGAGTAGTTATCTTTAGACACCAACAGATGACGAATGGTCATTTGCACGACGAAAGCAGGATGGTCGTACTTTCATAACGGATGAATCGCAATCTCGTACTTTTTTTGAAATTTTTTCCTTTATTGCATTACAGGGATGGTAGACTTTTACGACAGACTTTACTTTTTTTATGTAAAGTTGAGTTAATATTTTTATTTTCAGTCATATCGGATCTTACGGAAGTACCAGATGCGGATGGGTTGCTATCGGAAGAAAGAGTACACATTGAGCAATCAAGAATATCAGTGGAAGGCACTTCAGAATCGGTAAATCATTTATTTCCTTTTATTAAATTTCTGTAGATTTTACGTCTTGTTTGAGTTTCGTTTCTATTTTCTCTTCATTGTTTCTGATTATCAAAATGCTCTTTATTTCTCTTTTCCGGTGAAATAGAGCTTCTATCTCAAGTATTGGTTGATATTAGCTTTTAAAAATACTTTTTGACTGAGCCAGTTGATAAATTTGGTCTGTAATTTTTCATTGGAATTTTAGTACGAATGATAACTTAATAAGTTTCCAGTGTTTTTGATTCACTGGAATTCATATTGTAATGTTTTTTTTTCAAGAATAAAACCGGAAAAGTCTCGTTTGCTTCAAGAGATTCAGGCGAACCAGTTAATGATTTTGATAGTATGAATCAAGCAGTATGCGGTGGTCAGATACCAACTAATGAAACCGGGACAGAACCTGGTGATACCTCTGTCTCTACAGGGTATATTTGAAATTTTTGCTGAAGATGTTTTGTTTCATTACACTAATTTGCTAACATTGAAACGTAATTGAATCAACAAAAGGACTTAGTACTCAGTGGACTTTATTCATATATATATTCTTTCTTTGCGACCAGATTGTAATTGATGTGTGCGATGTGCGGCAAATCATATATTACTCGATATTGTACATTTTATGGATATTACGTTATAAGGAATAATTGAACGGAAATTGTTATTTTGTCACTTCAGAATATCGAAGGTGTGCTCAGGCGGTGACCACTCGAATCATGTTGCTGTGTTAACAGATGATACTGGTCGAGATATAATTAGGCAGACTAATCGGAAATTATTTGTAATTGATGATGAACACTTATTGAAGTTGTTTCGAAGGTTCATTTTTGTTTTTCTTTGAAATAGGGAGACCTTGAGAATCTTAGAATTTTGTTCGCTGATCACAGACTACAGTGAGTATGGCTTTGTTCAGTTTCGTTTCTTACAAAATTTTTGTTTTCAGATGTCCAGATTGTGGTGAACAGCTGAAGACTTTAGTGCTTTCATCTCGAAAAGCAGTACCAATGGTAAAATACAAATGTCAATGTCAAGGTAGTTGTGATGAAAAAGTATGGTATGGTCATGAACCCAAATAGCTGGATATTACCAGGATGCCTGTACAAATAATCGCTAGGTTTTAGATATCTTTGGTAAATAAAGGAAATGTTAGATTTTCTTTTACAATTTCACTTTCATCGTAGTTATCTTTTTTTTCCCGTGACAAATTGTGAAAAAGTGGTTGAAAGTTCATATAAACTGTCTTTTCAGCTGCCACTTTTGCTATTTAACTAAATCAGAACTTTTGCTATTTAACTAAATCAAAAGCTTATATTCGTAATGATTGACAGTTGCTACTGATGATTTTATGCTAATGACTCTATCAGTTGGCCTTCTGGAAAGTCTCACAATGACACTCGTTAAACCGAATTGTTTAATAGAGCTTTGGTTTGACTGAATCATGTAAAATTGAATTTCTATTGAAAGGAAATACTGTAAAGCTTTGAAGATATGAAGCTGTTTTTGAACACTGTGAAGTCATCTTTCTAAGCATTGTAATACTTGTAATTAAATCATTCAAATCTTGCCAGCAATATATTATGCCTACTGACTTTCTTATTTACTGGAATCTTATATATACGTTTTATTCTTATGTATATGCATTTTAATTTTCTGCATTTAGTTTTCGTATTCATTAATATTCCGTGCTGTGACATTTGCAAATGTTACTTACCACAAATTTTGAAAAAAAAATTAATGTTTTCAGGGTACAATTTCAAAACTATCAGTGATTGATAAGAATGTGATTAATCTTTTTTGTCGTGCTTCCTTTATAGAATATCTTGTTCATTTCGATTTCTTGGCCTAATTATGTTATCGCAAATTTGACGAAAGCAATTACCTTAAGATTTATACTGCCCTCAGCTTTATGAAATTAAGATGAAATTTTGAATAATTAAACTAGTCGTTTTTCTTATCGTTATTTCATTTTACTACCTCATTCAGGGACATGGCTTTTCGTGTTGAAATTTATTAAATATTTCACGATTTAGGCTTTGTCTCTTTAGTGTCTTATATGTAATGTTTTGCTATTGAGTTGTTTGTCCTGCGAATAATTGAATTAATTTATTCGTATGTCAACATTTCTCAAAAATAAAAGTTTACGGTAAAACTAAGTAAATTTTACACTTTTACTTGTATCTATTTGGCAAAAATTTTTCTATACTTTGTTTGTCGGATAGTTTGGAAATGTGAAGGTAGCGGTACTCACACGCGTAATACCTGAGGGTTTTAAGGCTAATGGTGCTGGAAAAATATGTTAATGTTTCTAGCGGTGAAAAAACATTATCGGGATTAAGTTACGGTAGGTAGAGAGTATTAAATGAGTTGGTTGTCGAAGTATGAGAATTTTGAGAATATTTTCCAGGTTCAGGATACAACAGTGCTAAATATTGTGAATCATTTCATATAAGTTTTCTGTTGTGATTGGTTCGTTCAATTTAAGCTTTTTTAAAAATAATGTGTCATTTTATGACACAAATCGTCGCGCTAGGTCTGTTTCATTGTTTCGAGTTCGTTGGAAAGTATTTTAAAAGGAAGGAAGTGTATTTACAGGAATTGCAATCACCGGTGTAATTAGTTAATCAATAATGGATGGGAGAGTAAGGCAAGAAAATCAAGTAACTGTTGAACAAACACCGACTCGAATTGGTGATAATGATACAGATAACTCGAATTTTATTGTCGAAGGTTCGGCGAAATTAGATATCTCCAGTCCGACCCCAGCATTCTACAATCCTGCGCAGCAGTTCAATCGTGATTTGACGTAAGTTATTTCAATCCCTTTTGAATATGATAAAGTAAGCGGAAGTATGTATACGTGATTAAATCACATACGTTACATACATACGAATTGTACATGATTTACAGAAATAAGGCTAAACAATCAAAATTGTGTGAAACGAATTACGGGTGAAACCACCAAGTGGTTAATTGACGTTTTATCTGTAATTTCCAGTTAATTTTATGAATATATTTTCAGAATTTTGGTACTGCAACAATTCGTGGAAGATCGAAGAAAGGAATTGGAAGAAAAGAAGTGTAATGGACAGAATGGTGACGCGGAACCACCAATAAAACGATCACGAAAATGTGGAGTCCGTGATGTGGGTTTAAATTTATGGTTTAATGGAAAAGTTATGCTTTACTGGAATGTATAATTATGCATTGAATTCTGGTTCAATTTATATAAACTTTAGGCTGATAGTTTATTTCCTTACTTTTTTTTTTTTTTTAGAAATTGTTAACGATGACATAATTACTATTGCAGGATTCTGAAATACGTATTTTGGACGCTTTGTCCGCAAGTGGTTTAAGAGCTATTCGTTTTGCTAAGGAGGTAAGAAACTATATTTATCAGAAGTAGTCATACTTCGTGCTTCCAAATCTTTTAGACAATAGAAATTTCAGATAGCGAAACTTTTTTAATTAAGAAATTTTATTTTTAATCTTTGGTAACAAAATCGATGATGCAAACGAATTGTATTCATTCGGATAATAGGTCGCTTAATCATTAAAGGTCTTGCTTTATAGGTCCCATTTGTAGCTAAAATAATTGCAAATGACTTTTCGGAACAAGCTGTGAGTTCAATGAATAAAAATATTGAAATGAATGGTGTTCAGAATCTTGTGGAATCAAGATGCGGCGATGCGGTGTAAGTCTTATGACTAATAGTATTTAAACGAGTTGCTCTTTTTGAGTCGAGTATAAACTGCCAAGATCAGCTTGTCCTAAGGCACTTATTCTTGGTTATCGAAACCCTAATTAATGAAGGTAAAGGTAATCTCAACTTCCATCTAAAATTATACAATTGTATAATGAAATACATAGATTTCTATCGATTTAATAACCTTTCATACTCTTAGGACTTTTAAGGGTATACTATTAACTATAACCTGTATGGGTAGCATTTCTCAAATGACATTCCGAATAACCCTTCCCTTATTACTTGGGAAAACGTGACTTCTGAATATTGGGTAAAACAAAATAAAGAATTCGAATATTTGAGAAAATTTTTTTTTGAACTTTCGGATCGATGTATCTCTTTATCTGGATGTTTGAACTTCTTCCAACAAGTCCTCTGGACTTTTATTTATTTATTTACTTTTTCTTCTGACGATTAATGATCGTTGCGTAGCAAATGCTGTAGGAAATATTTTAGAGTATGAATTTAAGTTTTTTTTTATTATTATTACAGTTTTTCTCTACAATTAAGTAAATCATTCCCTTCAGAGATGCTATGATGTCTAATCGTTCGTTTGATAAGCGATTTCATGCAATCGATATTGATCCGTATGGTTCAGCATCAATGTTTCTCAGTTCTGCGGTGCAAGCTGTCACGGACAAAGGTTTTCCTGATATCATTTAATTTGCTTATATTCGAAATGATACAGAAGATGTATCCATTAGTTGGTTAGATTTATCGAATGTAAGTGAGTGAAGAATTCGGTTTTGGAGATATCATGTGCGATAATATCTTTGATACCATAAATGGTACTTTCTTTATAGCGGTGAAGAAGAATTCGTTCAGCATATTTAACTGAGTTCAAAATCGGGTTGAATAGCTAAGGGTTGAAGGAGGTTGAATAGCTCGCTTAATATGCTCAATGATTGCGCCGTATTGAAAGTTTCGAACACAGACATTACAGTATTTGATTTTTAGGCATAGTGTACATGCTTAGGTTCATCATATCATCATATCATGTATTACACCATGTCATATATGACATCTTTATCTATGCCATTATTTTCCAATTTCATAGTTGGTAATTCTTAATTTTTATTGCAGAAACATAACAATAAGTATCATTTAAGGATCCTTTGATAAAAAACGTAGAGAAATGTTAATTACATAATACCTAAAGAAAAGTTAAATCACATGGTACGTCAAACAAAGATGAATTACATAATATGTAAAGAAAAGTTGAGTTGCATAATTAAGCACCATTAAGTGAGCCTAAAACTATCGTTCTAGTTTTTCTGTACATAGATAATACAATATATAACACTAATAGTCTTCAGTTAACATGGTATTCGTTCTTCCTTATCAGTCTTTTATTTGTAGGTATTTTAATGGTTACTTGTACAGATATGGCTGTCCTGTGTGGTAATACGCCTGAATCATGCTATAATAAATATGGTTCTGTTGGCTTACGACATAAAAGTTGTCACGAATTCGTACGTCTATAGTACTTTGATTTTTTCTTTTTTTTAATTTTCATATGGAAGTGTACTATCATACTTTCGAATTATTTTCAAAACTGTGATGTTTTCCCACCACTTTTTTTCTCAAACTTTCTGGTTAAGTTTAATGAAATTAGGTCAAATAAACTAGAAATACAGATTTGATTAAATTTGGTCTTGAATCAGTTCCATTTTTCTTATGGAAAACACGAATGTTCCGGAACTATTTTTACTTGTGTTCCGGTAGACTTTTTAGTTACTTGTTTTTGTTTGTCTTTTTTTCTGCTTTTTGTTTTTTTTTTCCGGTGCTTTACTACTAATTCCTAAAATACAAATACAAATTGAAATAGTTGTTTGTGAACTGACTGATCATTTATACGGTAGTTCTGTTTTTTTATTGTTTTGCTTTTTTTTAACATTTTGTAGTGATGTCGTGAAAAAGTGATCGAGAATTCAATGATTGATTTCCAGGCTATTCGAGTTTTGTTGAGAGCAATTGATACACATGCAAATTGTTATGGAAGGTATATCGAACCATTACTTTCAGTAAGCATCGATTATTATTTGCGAGTTTTCGTCAGATTACATACAAGTGCGTTCATCGCCAAGGATAGTGTAATGTAAGTAATATTTCATGCAATATATATTCTGATTTTGAAAGGACTCATTGCTTTTTTCTTTGACTTCAGTTTAATGTAACAGCTTGAATCTTTTGCACTTTCCAATTATAAAAATCGGAATTTCCAATGAATTTTTACTTGAAAAACTGGGGATCGAATTTATGGTTTAATTTTCCTTATTTTCTAATCTTGATGGGATGCTTGTAACAATTGCATCTGTGGCGTCGGCTTAATAAACTAGGAATCAAACTTATCAGAATCTCACTGACAAAATGAAATTGCTTGAAATAGATACAGTGCCGTACAGTGCCTTTTCTCGCGAGACCAGTTATGGATTTTTTATTTTGGAGTAATTTTTAAATATTTCAAAATGATAACCAATTCAGGAAGGTATCACATGTATTCGCATGTACTGGATGCCATTCATTACACTTGCAACCACTTGTGAAAAAAATAACAAACGGAAATAGTATAAAATATACACCTAAAACATTTGATGTAACCTTGTTGGATAAGGATGGAAAATGCGTGCATTGCAAACAGTCGGTACATATGGCTGGTCCAATCTATAGTGCACCAATACATAATCAACAGTTTGTAAATAAACTTTTGCAAAGGTAAAGTTTTTTTTCCGGAGAACTTGTCTTTTTCCTTTCCAACTTTACAAAGGATTGTTGACGGATTTTGCTCTCAGTTTTTAATTTGAAATTACACAGAAATATCGTTGCTTACAACTGAAGGATTTACATGGTAAATTTGAAACATTTGAATGCAGCTAAAGAACAGTGAAAAACAGCTGCTCAATGAATCTTTTCAGCGGATACAATTGCATTGTCGCAAACATGTGCTACGGTGAACTCTGTTGGCTTGTGATTGGATATGCTTTTTCAAAAAAAGAGATTTAACAGTAATAAATATCCTTTCGGGAATATTCAAGCATAAACGGATTTATTTAATTACCATAATTTCTAAATTACAGGTTGAAAACACTTCCGGAGGAAAAACGATCAGAAACGTATTTGCGTACAGTTGGAGTTCTAACTGTTATTGCTGAGGTTTGGTTACATATGTCTTTTTTTGAATTCTAAACATTGTTTGTGCTATGCGAACACTCAAAAACTTGCTTCAAACGCTATCGATACTATATTGCTATTTTTACGGATAGCAGTGTTTAGGGATTTTGAAAGATATCGTAGTTCCCAAATTACAGATTGCTTTGTTTAGTTTTAAAAATTTCAGACTAAATGTTCTAAAAATGTAACATAGGTGGTTGTTGTAAATTCCATACATTAGACAGTTGAGATGAAATAATTCAATCGGAATCATAATACAGTAAAAACCTTTTCTTTTAGGATATCTATGCACAGTTTAGCCGGACACACATTGTATTTACCTTCACTAGGACAATTATCTTATTATTTAACTCAGCGCATCTGTCGATGTTGATATCAATATATACATTGCGTTAAATAACCGGATAATCCCTCTATAGAAGGAGTGATGATTATAACATCACTAGTGATTTGTAGAATAATGATTGTTTCATCTCAAAATTCGTTGTGATTTTTAATTTTCCCGAGAACTACACCTTTAGAATATATTTGATATACAACAATAGTTGTTAAGACTTAAAGTGGCAATTTTGTTTTTTTTTTTTAGATGAATACAAAATAAAAGAAATTATTTTGAAAATACCATTTTGGTGTTTTTAACTTGGAAATTGCGAATTTTTTTTCACCACCGAGTAGAGCGATTATAGAATTATCCCGAAATGAGAAAATTTTTTTTTCTGAGAATATATAACATCGTTTTCGTACATTTCATAACTACCCTGTTCATTGTATTAAAGATCACATGATTACTTTCAATACATTCAGAGATAAATCGAAATATTAATAGATGATTAATTTAATTTGCAGTACAGTTTATTTGGATTTTGCAGGAATTATCAGATATCCCTCTATATTACGAATATGATCAATTGATGCATGTTGTGAAATCAGCAGTGCCAAAAGCAGTTGACTTTCGTTCAGCACTCATGAATGCAGGCTATCGTTGTTCCATTTCTCATTGCAATCCAAAAGCAATCAAAACCGATGCTCCAACATCATTTTTATGGGATATCGCCCGAACTGTGGTAAGTTTTGTATATCAGTTTCATTTGATTCTTCCAAATGTAATTCCATGTCAGAAATTTGAATATTACCAATGATATATACGGGAAAGATGGCTTTACCCGAAATTCTCTCCACTGAGGCAAAATTTGGATTCTACGGACTACTGTAAAAATCGATAACTAAGTCTACATGTATTGCTTCCAAAAATTTTTTTATGGGGACGATTATCGGTATTTTACAAACTGCCTATCATTCATGACAAACAAGTATTCTGCTGATCAGTGGTTAAAAATAAGTTTAACATCGTCGATCCGTAGATCATTTATTATTAGTCAATAGCAAGGGAGCAAATCTTTTTTTGTTGTATAATGCTATATTTTTCAATACTATAAGAAAAAAGGTTGGACCTTAGTTTCTTTTTTCACTGGAATTAGGCAGTAATTGTTCCATAAATATTAAAAGAAATTTCTGAAAACTTTCTGATTTCTTAGGTATTATTTCATTACATCGTTTCATACATTATTCAAATAAATTACTTGCAGGCGAAGAATAATAATGTGACAAGCGAGCGTTTTACAGAGGATTGTGCCGGTAAAGTCGTTTTAGAACAGGAAATAAAGTATGCAAAATATCTTTGAAGAATTTTATTACAATATCTTTTTAACCCATTAGCAATTTTTTTGTTTAATTTTCGAAATTAATTCAGCAAGATAAAGCCGCTGATTTCTTACATATAGGTGGACGAAATAGACGATGTTCAGTTTCTCTTACTTCAAAAAATCAATTATATGGTATGGCCAAAATTCCTCCCGCCTTCCAAATTCCTTTAAATCCTGTTACTATTCCATATTCGTAGAATAGTTATTATATTTGGAAACTACACGCAAAATATGGTATATTATCAAATTAGTCAGTAGAAACTTCCAAAATAAATTCTTCCAAAATAAAGAGCCAAATAAATTTTTTTTTTTGCATAATTTCCAGGCATGAAATCGTTTTTCGGATGCATCCGGAAGCTCTGGAGAAAAGTAAAATTGATTCGTTGCTACGTTTTCAACAGAGTAAAGGTAAGAATATGGGGCCAAAAGCAAAGACGAAAGGTTCGGTTTCTTCGACCCAAGCTGGCTTTCAGATACCACAGCAGGCCGAAAAGAAATGAATAATTGTCTCATTTTGGAATTTTAAAAATTTTCACTTTTCCATGTTTTTAGTATTCTATGTCTTTAGTATTCTTGCGCTCTCTTAAATATTTTAAATATTTTGATTTTTTAAGCAGAATCTATATCGTAACTTGTACACTGAAACAAGTTATAATACAAATTTTGGTACGTGGAAAACTTTTTATCAAGCAAATAAATGTTCTATGTTTCATAAGTACATTGATACTTATTAGCAAGGAAGGATTTTGGCCAATGTCATTTGCTTGTTGTTACTGTTATTTATGGGTAACGTTTCTGAAAAGGTGCTTCTACATATGTAAACATACTCGTATTTTCATCAAATAAACCTGACGATCTCTTTTTTATGTCAATTCTCAAAATATGCCTCTAAATGTACTGTAGAATGCTTCTGTTTTTCGGGAACGTTATCATCTGTTGTTGCCTTATTATCCAATTATTCGTTATTTTTATTTTTTATTTTGTTAGTAAACAATAAATTCATTCACGTATTGTAGTTGTAAAGCTACATCGAAACTTTTAATAATTTATAAATGCATCTCGTCACAATTGATTTTCGTTCACTAAACGACAAAAAGTAAAGTAACAGCCTTTTGTGATTTATTATTTATTGGTGAAGATATGCAATTTGATGCGAACTTAGCAATAGCAAAAAATTAGCAACTATATCCAAAAATAGAAATGTTCAAATATACAATAAATTACTTCCTGAGGTTTTGTAAGATTAAAAGGTTAAACGATGCAAGTTTTTGGAGGTCAAAGAAATAGGATATACATAAACAGCTTCGAATGTAACTTCTTCAAATGTACTGTTTTTCTGAAGTTTTCTTTTTTTCAAATGTCAAATGTAACCGGAAATCAGTTCCTGAATGCCTTGTGATGAATTAAATTTTACAAGTACAAAGTATAGCTATAACGTCATGAATTATGAAGATTGAACTTTATGCTAGAAATTGAATTTCATTTTCGTAACATCGTTACATACTGATATTTCGATTTGTGCAATGGTATGTATACTAAGTGGCATGATATTGCATAAATTTATGAGTAAAAAAAAATGAAGTAAAGTAAAATGAATGCATAAAATTGAATTAAAGATTTATTCTGAGAATTTGACTAATTAACAAAACGGAGCACATAATTAAGGTAAATTCGCGTGTGGCATGCTAATTTGATTAACTCTCTAAAAGAGATTGCTATCAAAAAATTTTTTTGTTTCCAAAAAATCTATTTAGTCATTACTTTCATATAAAAAATTTTATTGCTAATGATTCGAATGATTGAATAATCTATGAAATGAACATATACAAATGAACAAATGAACATATACATTATTATTATTATTATTATTATTATTTGCTTTTTTTCTCTCTCTTCAACTTCATTCGTTTCCGTACAATCAATTAGATCAACAAGTTATGAGGAATTATTAACTAAATTATAATAAAGATGAATTTTAATTAAGAATTTAACTTAATATTTCATCACATTTTAATGTATTTTTTAGCTTTATTTTTTAAATATGGCTTCTCTTATTGCATGAATCGATGTATAATATACCATTTAGCTTGCATTCAATTGCATCTGCTGATTAACTTGAAAGATTATTTA